CACTTTTCCTGAAGATAGAAGAGTTTRTTGAATCTGACGTGACATGTTCGTACGAACCCTTTGTACGAACAAAAGTAAGAGAAATTTAGGATAAGAATACGAACATGTTCTTGCATGAGACCCAATCAGAGTGTTATAAAATAAAACATAAAATAAAATGTATAAATTTCTGTTTTGTTTTATAATTTCTTTACCATATTTAGAACGGCAGTACGGTAGTTTTGTACCTCAACTCCTTCAACATGTAATTGTGCATCAGCACTTTTTTTACTGTTACAAAATATAAACCTTGTTTTATCAATAGTTAAGCATCGTCTGTTACTTTGAAACAATTTTTTAATTTTTGCTAATTCACATGAAAGCAAGAAACTATTGAATTTACCATTTATTTTACCTTTAACATTAAATTACAACAATAGCATCTGATAGAGGAAGTGCAACCCTGACACGCCTCTACATCGCTGCTTCTGCAGTGATGTTGGTCCTCTTTCATTATTGTGTGTGTGTATGCTGCCAGTATGTATGTGTGTGTTGCCGGTGTGTGTGTGTGTGTTTGTGTGTGTGAAAGAGAGAGAGAGAGAGAGAGAAACTAATGGATTTCATGTGAAGGGCAGAGCTCAGTGGCACAGTCATGCTCTCACACACACCGGCAACAACATCACCACGGGAGAGAAACCACAATCCAGCTCATAAATAAAGAAACAGACTCGGAGCAACAGAATGAAAGATGGTGAAACGGAGAAAAGGATGGAGTGATCAGAGTTAGAAAATGCTGTTAGGACTAAAATGGAGAGTTTGGTGTTAGAGGGGTGGAGCGTACGAAAACTGACTTTTTGATGTAGATTTAAAACTAAAAGTTCTACAGACTTCAAACTGCCTTTTTAAGGTTTTATTAAGAATAATAATAAGAATTTGTACATGAATCTGTTAGTAAAGTCAGCAGCATAAATCTGAGGGTATCGAGGAGCTGGTTAAATGTAGATTTGGGAGAATTAAAAAAAATGACCCTAGGCTCCATAAAGAGAGCACTTCATGCTACAAAGGTAAAAGGCTCACATGGTAGGAGGGAAACAGATCCAGATAAACGACAAGTGGAATAAACAATATGTTGGCAGACGAGATGAGAATGTAAAAAAAGTAATTAACCAGTCGGAGAGACAAGATTGAGCAGAAAAAAGTAGGAGTGGGAGGAGGATCCTACATATTCATCTCCTGTTTTCCTCTGGGCTCTTCAGATGGTGAAGAAGAAAGAAATGTTCTCCGTGTCTCTCTTTCTCCTGTCCTTCCTCTCATTCTGTATTCCTTTCTTCTATCCTTCTTTCTGCAGGTCCTTCCTCGGTTTTCCCCAGTTTGTCATGCTGGGAGAGGTTATTCCCTGCAAATATTACACACCTGCTGCAGGCGCCGCGGCTTATTGAACGCCTCCATGCTACACATATTTACTGTTACAGATATGTTCCTGCACACGCATATAAATGTGAACCCATGTACGTTTGGTTTGCACACATGAAGTTTAATAAAACCTCTGTGGATGCATTTTGCACCTTAGTTACCTCCGGCAAGGAGGTAATGTTTTCGGTTGTGTATGTTGGTCTGTCTGTCGTTCTGTCTGTGGACAACATTACTCAAAAACTTGTGGACGGATTGTCATGACATTTTTACCACATGTGGGTACTCGCCCAAGTAACACACCAATAAATTTTGGTGATGTTCCGGATCACGAGGCGGACACAGGAATTTTTTTCTATTAGTCCTCTCAGATAGGCAAAGCTGTGATGCTTTCACAGGGCTTCTGTAAAAAAAAAAACAGTGAGAGCGTTCAGTGTTCATTTGAACTGGATTACATAGCACAGACTTCAAACTTTATAAATGTTAAAACCAGATGTAATGATGAATAAGTCTTGCCATAATGTGCATATTTTACGCATTTGGTGTACATTTAGAGAACGTCTTCTGACCAGGAAGTACATGACTGCACCATGAAACACATTTTTCCCATTTCCTCAAACACACCATATTGTCGTAGGCCTGTAAACAGATTGATGAAGAACGAGGAAGAGGAGTGATGTGCACAGGTGCGGTGGACCTCAGACTCGGAGGTTGTTTGTTTGTTTGTTAATTTTTATTATTTAAATGAGACCAGGGGCGAGGTCATGTTTTCGGTTGCACTGACCCACTCGCTTCATGAGCCGACTGTATCAGGGAGCACTTTATAAAGAGAGTCAAACCATTACAAACTCATACAAGGGGATAAAACAGACGTTTTACATGGTGAAATGTGACTGATGAAAACTTAGGAGCTTAATCCCACACCCGTTTGACGATGAATAACGTCAGGTGACGAGTCTGACGTTTTTTTTTCACATTGGACTCCACTGAGAAGAAATCCCGTGCATACTGCCTGCTTAAATGTTCACTATGTCAGAACTTATTCAGTAAATGTGTTTCCATCTCCGCTTTTGCGCATTAACTCTTACAGGATGGGGGAAATTGGTCTTGGCGGAGGTTTTCACTCTCCGAGTGCTTCTAGTTTCACAAGTGTTTGGACATTTTGACATCATGTACATTTTTTAAGAAGCACTGAAGTTTAAAACTCCTAAAAACATCCTTCCTAACATTATAGTCTTTGTTTTTAGTTTTTGTTATTTTTATTTTTATTTTCAGAATAAAAGCAGATTATCTCTCCTCATGTACAATGATGCATCAACTCTCAACGGAATTATGGAGATGAATTTTCTGCATAATATTTCTGCAGCAATGAAGCTCTCAGTAGATTAGCCAAGTGCATTCGAGAAAGGTCAGTTTCTGGGGGGTTTTGGGTGGTATGACAAGATACAAATTTTTTTAAAGCCTGCGGTGTTACTGTGCTGTTCTTGTATTATCTGCTGAGGATAAAATCACTTCTGTTGAGGAGCGATGTGAAAGTTTAAGAGGAAAAAGTTTAACTTTAATGAACTGATTTATTTATTTATTTAATTTATTTATTATTTCAGTACTATCCATCCATCCATTCATCCATTTTCTGTACACGCTTCTTCCTTTTCAGGGTTGCGTGGGTCACTGGTGCCCATATCCAGCAGTCACAGTGCGAGGGGCAGGGTACACCCTGGACAGGTCGCAAGTCCATCACAGGGCACAGGTATTTCAGTACTAATAACTTTAAAATAATGTAAACAGAGTCAGAGGGAGAACAAATGAATCAAAGATACCAGGTTAAAAAGGAAAAGGTTTTTCTCTCTTCTGAGAAAAAACAACTAAAAGCTTTGAAGACAAATGTAGAAGCATTCTGGGAGAGGACATCGAGCAGCAGAGAGGGTTAAAGAAAAGGTTTGACAAAAAACAAAAAGCTATTAAGCAGCTAAATATCAGCTATTAAGGCTTTAAATGACATTGTTGTCATCCACTAAGTTTTATACTGTAAGCCCCATCTTCAGACATATTGTTCTGTCTTTATTTTTATTTTATTAATTTTATTTTATTCTTTATTGTATTTAAAAACATGGAACAAATTCAGCTTAAACAAATCCTAAACACCTACAGGTTTTTCATCTCCACTTCTTCAGTTTTTACCTGCTCAATGAAAAAGATGCAGAAAAAGGAGTCTACAATCATAAAGAGCCATTTTAAACTAATGCAATATTTAATAAAACTGTGCAGCAGCATCATCTGTCTGCTGATTCCTGACTGTATTTTACTGTTTCTGACATATGAACATAATGTTTGTTCAAACATATTTACCTGCAGTTCAGTCTGTGATGGAAGCCCATGTGTCACATCCTTTTTGTAGGTCACAGAAGCAATAAGTGACACAACAGATACAACCAGGCATCATTTACAGCTCTTCTCTGTCTCCCTCCTTTAAAATTGTTTGATTAATTTCTAAACCATTCGAAAGGATTTTCTATAAAATGTGATATTTATTGCAAATCTCAGACATTTCTCTGGATCCAAAGGTTTACAGACACCTAGTTTTAATAACAGGTTTGAGAATCAAGCAACGTGAACAGTGACTTTGTCATGGTGGAGGAGACGTTCATTTAAATTTGTGTAAAATGTCATTTCACTGTTCCTGCTGAGAGCTGGTAATCTGCATTGAGGCTAATGCAATCAATCACATAAACATAGCTTTAAGCTATGACAGTACTTAGAGTAGAACATGTACTTATGAACAAAGAACATATTGTGGCAATGTACATCAACTTTAAACAGAATAAGTGTCATTTATTAACATTTTTGTGATATTCATCATTCATTATATTTATTAAAACCTGTTAACATTCAGCGGAATGCCCGCGTGCCGTTTTGTATTTGTTTTATTTTGAAGCATTATATCTGTTTCTTGTTCAGCCTGTGTCCGTGTGCAATGCATCAAACTTGACGTCTAGGCCTCCTCTTTCGATTGACACCTCATTTGACCAACTGGGTTCAGGTTTCGACTGTCCAGGGCCAATAATACAGTATATCAGTAGTGACCAACTTCCGGTTTTCGTCTTTCTAGATTTGATTGACTGTAAAATCGGCCAATCATCTCCGAGCTTCGTTCTGACGCTACAGCTGTGTAGCCAATCACTGTATCTTTCATTTAATGTATAAATAGAGGGGGTAGGAACTTTGTTAGTGATGGAAGATGTAAACACACTGGAGGCTGCCATATTTTGGCACTGTTACAATGCTAAGGAAGACAGCTAACGCTCACAGGAAAACATTGTTTTCCACCGTTTTTTGGCCAGTTAGCTGATGAAACATGCTGATAAGAAGAAAATATATTTGTTATTAAGTGTTTTGAGTGCTTCAAGACATGGAAGAGTGATTTTTGTGGCCAGGAGAAGTAACTTTATTTGGATAAAAAGACTTCCTGTCACCATTTTGAATCCCTAATTTCGACATATTTGAGGACAGATATACATCAAATGTGAGTAAAAAGCAAATATTTTTTCACTGCTGGTGGTTTTATAAGCTGTGTGGAATGTTAATGCTCTGAAAGATATAAGGATATATTGTTTATTCTTGTGGTATGGCTGGGTATTGGTGGAAATTTATCTGCAAGTACAGTGTTGGTGTAAATATTTATGAACATTAATATATATATTTAAATTTAATCATGCTGTGAGTAAATATGTATGGTAGAATGTGTTTTGTGGGAGTTATATCTTTAATTTGAGACCAGAGGGATGTCCATATGTTGAAATTGAGAGTGTTTTAGACAAACTGCACAGTTTGGACGTATGTAAATGAGTATAAATATGCAAACGAGGCATGCTGGATTGTACTATGTGTCAAATATTCATATTTTACGCTACTGTTACCAAATTTGAACTGGTAATAGTTGAGAATTAATATTTTAGCCCAGTAAAATTTGTTTGATAATATCTAATTCCCATCGTATTCTGTGATACTTTATTAATAAAAAGTAAAAATTTAGGGAGAAAAATACCTTGATTTTTGTGTATTTTACTTCAATATACTAAATACTAGTTACAGTTACAAAGACTATGACTGCTGAAGTTAAAAATTCAGATTATTAGCTTTAAAAAGAGACCAAGCTTGTGAATTTACTCTAAAGCATTCAAAAGCAGTACTTCATTTAATTTGTGTCTACTTTTTAAGGCGTTTTATGGTATTTTATGCCCGATGGTTTACAGGTTTTAAAGGTCCATCTTTTAAAATCGTCCCTCTTTTTCAGTTTGATTTAAAGCAACTCGAAGCTAATCTGTTAAACCTGTGATGGCTTTGAAGGCACTGAAATTGTAGGTAATCTTCTAAAAGTGTCCTCTTTCAGAGAGCAGCAGTTTACCTGCACTCTGGATGAACTGCTGTCGTCTTTTTCATTCCATTGTTGTTTGTATTTAAATCATGCAGATATAGAAGCAGATGAATATTTCCCCCCTATAATCTCTGGATGTGTGGGTTTTAGT